TTACAGTCAAAAATCTGAGTACTTTAGTAAAACAGTGTCGAGATGCATAGTTCTCATAATGAATCAGTGGAAAAAATTGCCTTTGTAAAACAAACATCCAGTTATAACTTTAAAGCTACTTGTAAGTCCTGGATAATGAGCTAGTTTGATGAATATTAGCGTGAAATCCCATGAGTTTAAGAAAAAAAGATTTAACTGCACAACTTTTATTACCAAGCTGGCAAATCTCGGCTCATTAATTTGGCAAATATATTAGCTCTTATTCCTATTTTAACTAAGTCCTGAGAAAATTTTGTTCTTTTCTATATCAGGTATTTTATGACATTTTATCGAGAATATAAGTTTATTGTTAAGGTGAAAACACAGTGGTAATGTGCAAATCACATACCTCATCAACAGGGAATATAGATCTCATCATGCTAAATTTAATAGGGTTTATATAAAAGATCCCCAAAGTTGCCATATCTGCATTCATTGCTTTTTTAGTTCAGAATTTCTCCTATCATTTGACTGTCACATCAATCAAATATTTATTTAAAGCAACCTAAGTAAGATTACAGACTCTATTATCCACCACAAAAGTTCATTCAGCTAAAAGGATATGATAACTTTAATGAACCTAAATTGTTCTTCCAAACAAGATTCAGTTGATCTTAAGCATTTAGATTCATGAGCCTAATTTTTCCTTGTATATGCTTTATGTTATTGATGGCTTAGACGCGAGATACCTGTTATGTTTAGATTTTTTTTTGATAAGGTCAACGAAGGCTGAGAATGGGTGTACACCCATGTATTTTCTAACTACTTTCACCATTCAGAAGTGTATAATCATAGTTATAAAACAAACTTCTAGAAGGTTTATTGTCTAACATTATTCATATCTGAAACCATTGAAAAGATAATGAGTACAACAAATGAAAAATTAGTCTATCCTGCACTTTCTTTGGCATACTTTCTCCATTCTGTTCACCTGACTACTATTAGAAGTATAATTTCATACACCTAATACACTTCCACGTAGAAATAGTGTGACTGAAAATTACAAACGTCCTGTCATTTCAGTTGTTGGATGGTGACTAGCAGTGGAATCCAGGATAACGAGCATTTCGTCCTGTTTGGAACTGGTCATCTGGTTGTGCTTGCATTCCCCTATGAGTGATGGTGTTCCCAACGAGGCTCAAACCCAGTGCCCTTATTTTGAAACGCCAAAGCGTTATCCACTAGACCACTTGAACCATGAGACACCTCTTGTGCAACGGGTCTTATTAATTATTTGATTCAGTTTAGATTTTCTCATCGATTGACTGGACCGAAATGCCAAAGCTCAAATAGGACGAAATGCACATCCTGGATTCCAATGCAAATCACCATCCACCAATTGACTTGAAGCTACATGACCAGACATCATCGAAGCATCTGCACAAGAAGCCAACATGTCAACCTGAGACCCAGCACTTCGGTCCAACCAATCGACGGGAAAACCTAAAATTAAATTAAATTCTATCATTTCTCCATGTGCTGTTACCCAAGAATTTTTTAGTTATTTGCTCGTGTTTATTGTTATGCAATAAGAAAAGTTTCCTTTACATACTTTATCATTTTCTTTGAAACGAAATGAGAATATGGTAAGAAAATAAACATTTCTCTGAATAACTCATGACGCTATGGTGAAAATTCTGTAAATCAAATACCTTTCACAAATTACATTTCGTCTTTGTTTTTAATTCCGCTTAACACCTTGCCATTGTGAGAGACAATTATACCTTTCTTTTTTTTATTGTTTGATTTATATGGTGTTTTTTGCCTTATAGTTAAAAAATTCATAAATGACAGGCATGTGAAAAGTAGGCGTTTATATTTCCGTTGTTTACTTACACTTACCGTATGGCACTGACAACGTACGCCTAAATAAACACGTGTGTGTGTGTGTATGAGTGGGGTTTTTCATGATACCTAATGAAAAAAAGAATTGATTCTCGTTGCACATTTACTTTCCCACGGTTTACAACTAAAATGGTCATTGTGATGCTCTATATTCTTACCATATTATGTTTACCAGCACAATTTATACACGCGACAGTGTATTCGACTATTTACATTTATGCAAACAAGTATTGTTTATTTACACAAAACAACCAGAAAAGACTTCCAATGCGAGCACGAATTGTTTCAATTGCAGCCCCTTTTTAATGCATGCTATGATGACGGTATTTCTCGTCTAAAGATTCACTTAACATGTGGGGGACTGTCTAGAGGAAGCTCATTAACATAACAAATTATGCGAATAAAAATCCAAGTCAATGAGAGTACAATGCAACAATATATTATCAAAATTCACTAACGAGTTATATTAATTAAAAGGTTACTTGGATACGTTGTTAAAGTCCACTGCTACAAATTATTTATATAATCCACAGGAGCGTCGACTGTTGGAATAGTGTCTACTGGCAGAAGCTGTGTTCCGGTTGTAGATTTTGTCTTCGGATAAGGATGATAGGTTCCTGCAATAAATCCAAAGTACACAACACGGTTTGAGTGGAGCGAGTAGACAGAAATGGCCAGAGAGAAGGCGAAGCTACCAAAAGTATAGTGTATTTCAAATTGCACTCGGAAGTTATATGTATTTTAACATAAATCGTTTTAAACAAGAGTCATGTACAATGTTTCTAATTTCAACATCTAACCAAAAAGTGTACAATCATATGGTTACGTACTCCACACGGCTCCCCCCTAGAGGTCCGGAGACTGTCACTGTTAGTGAAGTTAATAATAATAATAACCATTTTTGGGATAAAAATAAGGATACCTAATAACATCCATGTACGCAGAAAGGTATCTGAACCATGTAAAGTTTGAACGCATTTACAAATAGTTCAACAACAAAAATTGAAATAGAAGTTCATGTCAATTAAATGAGGTCAGTTTCTCGTTGCACAAATCATAAACAAAGATTTTTAATGTATAAACAAAGATATCTATGTATACAGTCATTAAAGAGGGTAAAGAAAAAAAAATAGGGGGGGCATGCAATAGCCCAACGAGTAAATCTATCAATGGCTGTCAGGATATGTGTATATCCTCTTGACGTTAGCGATGGTCCTACAATATCTATATGAACGTGCTGAAATACCCTGTCCGGTAAATCAAACGTCTTCGGCGTTGTGACAATGTGGCGGTGTACTTTGGAGCGTTGGCATTGGATACATTCTCGTGCCCATCTCCGAATGTCAGAGTTCATTCTAGGCCACACGAAGCGTTCGCTGATGAGTCTGACCGTAGCACGTACTCCAGGATGAGAAAGCGAATGTAAGTTTTCAAACAACGCTTTTCGGTATCTGAGAGGAACAAACGGACGATTAGTGCCGGTAGATACATCACAAACTATCGTTGCATTTGATAAGGGAATAGATACCTCTCTGAGCTGTAAGGAAGAGTTTCCGTGACAATTTCGAAGTTCTGCGTCGTCTCTTTGTAACTGAGCCATACGGTCAAGACTGACGTCTACTGAAGTTTCAAGCTGGTTTATGTCACCTCTTGAATGAGAATCAGCTACCTCGTTTGCGTTCCCTTTGATGTACTGTATGTCAGTTGAAAATTGGGAGATATAGTCCAACTGTCTGGCTTCTCTTGGGGAATGTTTATCCAGTGAAGTAGTGAAAGCATAGCACAGAGGTTTATGGTCAGTAAAAATAGTGAAATGCCAACCCTGTAGTAAGTAACTGAAATGCTTGACTGCTAGATATATAGCCAACGTTTCTCTCCCAAAAGTACTGTAACGTGTCTGAGCCGGTTCTAACTTCTTCGAAAAGAAAGCAAGTGGGGTGACTTCACCATTAATCTTCTGTTGTAATACCGCGCCCACAGCTACTTGGGAGGCATCTGTGCACAAGACAAGGGATGCTTCGGGGTTGATGTGAGACAGCATAGCGACTTTAGATAAAGCGTCTTTAGCGTTGCAGAAAGATTCGTGTGCTTGCGCTGACCATTGAAACTTTTTAGGATCACTTTTAAGGAGATCGGTTAAAGGTTGGACGATGGAATAAAACGTCGATAGAAATTAAACATTCCCAAAAATTGTCGGACTTTCTTCAATGAGTCTGGTTGAGGGAAGTTTTTGGTTGTATCTATCTTTTCTTCAGTAGGCCTGGTTCCATCGGCAGTTATGTAATGTCCCAGGAATTGAATAGAAGAGGCACCGAAAATGCACTTCTTAGGGTTTATAGCGATACCATACTGTTCAAAGCGCTGAAACAAAGTGCTAAGATGATTCTTATGTTCCTCTTCCGACTTGCTAGCAATTAATACATCATCGATATAAACGAAAACAAAGTCAAGGCCCTGCGTGACTTGGTCCATGAAGCGCTGAAAAGATTGTGCAGCGTTTTTCAGCTCGAAAGGCATTCGTAAGAATTCAAACAAGCCAAAAGGTGTTATAACGGCTGTTTTCTCGATGTCCTCAGAATGGGATAACGATCTGGGACAGTGGCATTATTCAAACGTCGGTAATCCCCACAGGGTCCCCAGTCATGCTCAGCCTTTGATACCATATGTAATGGTGAGGACCAGCGACTGGTGGATGGCCAAATGATGCTCAGTTGCACCATGTGTTCGAATTCAGCTTTGGCTGCTGCTAACTTATCGGGTGGTAGTCGACGAGGACGTGCTCTGACAGGTTGACCAGTTGTGACAATTTTATGCTTGACAGAATGAGGGAAATCTTCGATATTATAAGATGGCTTTAAAATGTTTGGGAAACGTTGCAGTAATGCAGAAAACATGCAATCATCTGGCTTTTCGATGCATATGTTATAAACAAAGTAGTTTGAGATGATTCCGTGGGCTTGAAGTTGGGTACAGTTATCAATCAGCTTTTTCTTGTTGACAACAACCAACAGATTGAAACTGCTTAAAAAATCAGCACCCAGTATGGCATGACGAACATCAGCTACCATAAATATCCGTCTAAATCGATGACGTAAACCAAGATTCAAAATAAGTGATTATTCACCGTAAGTCAGTATGCTAGTTTGGTTAGCTGCTCGAAGTGCAGTGCTAGAATTAGATGGAGTAACAGTCGTTGTGCTTAGAATTGGACAGACTGAGGTGGTTAAGACATATACTGCAGCTGCTTGGGTTTGCTGGATATCTGAAGCCTGTGAACAATGTGAATTTGATGTGCGTAAGTGTCCACCAGAAGACACAGTATGAGACGGTGACGCAACCATGATCAGTGAACTATCAGCTGTACACACACGTGTTCCAAAACTACCTGCAGATGACGACTGAAAACAAGTAGTATTTAGTGAAATAGAATTGGTACTGGCAATTGATGTAGTTGGATTTGTGCGTACCGATACTAAGCGTAGACCCATGAGTCCACTACTGTTAGATGGACTAACATTCGTGAAGCGACTGACTGATGAAATGGTCGTTGACGTATTCCGGTAAACAGAATCAACCGCTGCAACACTTGACCGGACAGAATCGCCTGATATTTGGGGAGAATGCGTCACTTGACTGCTACACACTGGTTAGTAAACTGACGCGGTTGAAAAGCCAGATGATTTCATGTTTTCTGCATTACTGCAACGTTTCCCAAACATTTTAAAGCCATCTTATAATATCGAAGATTTCCCTCATTCTGTCAAGCATAAAATTGTCACAACTGGTCAACCTGTCAGAGCACGTCCTCGTCGACTACCACCCGATAAGTTAGCAGCAGCCAAAGCTAAATTCGTGTCTGGTTACGTACTGTGTATGGTTGCGTACTCCACAAACGTTTAGTATCTGATTTCCTCAATAGTTCATTCAGGAAGAGACGAGTTGATAAACAGGAGATTCAGTTGTCTTCGATAGCAGTTTTACAGTGAACAGTCATATACCCAGTTATGTAGCACCAAATCAATCTCATGGATTTCAGCTTCACCTTGAAAGTCCTTTGGACTAGATGATGATCTGAGCCCACATCAGCTCTCCTTCTCGACTTTGTATCCAGCAGGCTAGCTGCGTCTCCACTTCCTTGAGATTGAGATGAAATCTATTTGGTTTGTGGTATGTCCGTCAGGCGAAATCCACGTTGCTTTGTGTATATCCTTGTGTTTGCACACGCTCCCTCCGATCACCAAATCGTTGAAAGAGCAGAAGTCTGCGAATAATTCCCCGTTCTCATTCATTTCTCTGAGAGCCTTTCGATCCATGATGAATTCGCTTCCTGTGTTATCAGGTCCCAGTTTGGGATTCATATCGCCCATGAGGGTTTTGATGTCTCCATTCTGGATGTTGTCCATTACTGTTTGTAGTTGTCTGTAAAAATCCTTCTTCTTCTTCCTCTCTTGTTCCGCGTTGTTTGTAGCACTGTGCATAGCATCGGATAATTGTTACCTTCCTTCCTTCGGAGTTGAATCTTGCTGTCATGATCCTGGATGAAATTGGTCCCCACTGCATTAGGGCTTTGACTGCCACTGGCGACATCATGGCCACTCCCTCGGTGTGTTTGTGGTTGTCATCTGGGTGACCGGAGTAGATTATTGACTCTCCTGTTGACAATGTTGTCAATCCACATCCATTCCATCTGCTTTCGCAGATACCCAGTACTTCTAAGGCATATCTTCGCATCTCTTTGGCTGCCTGGGCAGCCTTCCCAGCCTCGTACATTGTACGGACATTCCACGTCCCCATTCTTACTGTTGATTTCATCGAGAGAAGACACATCGGTTGACTAGCTTCCCGAAGGCTTTCACCAGCCCACGTCATTTCACTTCTCCGATTTGCGCAAAGAATAAGACTGTTGTTATTTGTAGTTTTTGTATTTTCAATATATTTTCTGTGCATTTAAGTTTCTCTAGCGGTTTGATAGGTTTAGCGGTGTGGGGCTGCTAGCCCACGGTGTTTTTCTTGTTTCCCCAGAAATGCGCAACGATATGTTGCAAACCAATTAAAAATGTGTATGAGTATGTTTTACAAACCACGGACATCATGTAATGATTACAACAACAGGAATTAACGAAAATAAGATGCATTGTCTTGGATGGAAATTCAGGTAGCCCAGTGATTCAAGCAGGTAGTCACTTCGAGATCTGATAGTTCTAGACTGCATTTTAATTAAGGTAACTGAATTTCTTTATTATACAACAGTCTGTGGAAGAACTCATTGTTGTTATCCGCGAATTCTATTTCTTGGCACGTGACATATCTATCTACGAGCATTCCACACATGTCAGATATTATACAAATAACTATTTCATGTATGCGCTCATTAGTTTACGTAGCTCAGCAACGTTTTTTGAGTATATGCTGTCAGTGCTTGGCTGGATATCGAATAACACGAAATATTGCCAGTTAGAAAAGACGGAATGATCTCCTCTAATCTAGAATTCAACTTTAAAATTCGCATATCTAAATTCTGATGAATTAACTCGACTGACTTTGAAAGAAATTATTCTCCATCTTATTGATTAGTTCTAAGGTAAAACGTATTTTCAAATAGATCTCAGTTTATTAAATGAACAGTGAAATACTCTCCAGCTATGTAAGAAATAAAAAATTTTAACAATGCATAACTTCAGAGTAAGTGGTTGTTTGAATATATTGTACGTGAAATGCATACTGATTACTGCAAAACTCTGTGAAAACAATTTCTTTCTTTCTGTTTGGTGTCTTATATCATTTAGGCGATAAGCTGTGGCACCGCTAAACATGACTAATCGTCTAAGGTGTGGCATCTTCTAGACTGTTCAACAACCCTGGTTGACAACCGTTTCTTTTTGCTTCCTGTGTAATTTCATGTAGTCTGATAAACCCAATTATGGTGAAAGAAAGTGGAAATCCGTTCTGGATCATGTAACTGAACATCTTATCTTACACAATGCCACTTAACATCTGGATAAATACTCAGTGTTACTTATTTTATGTATTTGTTAATCCTTTCTCTAAATTTATAATCCTTAAATCCTAATCCTAGAATTACTGTTTTCTTTTCGACAGTATTGTACTCCGCTTTCCGATGTTCACCTTTACAATAATTCTTTTCGATTTTTTGTTAAATACCCAATGTTGCCTGAAAATCCTCTGATCAACCTAATTTCTGGTTCTGTGGTTTTACAGAAAAGATTTTTCTCCCTATCATATAGTATCCTTAAGAAACTTCGATTATGGCTAACAGAAAAAAAAGCTATTGAAGTTTAGATATTGGTATCAGTTATGACTTTTTATTTTAGAAAAAAAATACTGCCCATGACTCTCAGGCAATACAGAAACAGAAAATGTTTTCTTGGTCTTCAACATTTGTTTAAGCTACCTTACTTTATGCTCCAATTTGCTTTAGAGAGGTGTGTTTGTTGAAACCTAAAAAGTGCACAATTAGCAAACTTCTGGCTAATTGACTATCATTTTATCCTAATAACAGTTTGTTTTTTTCCCTTCACGTTCCCAGTGGAACGTAGGGCTCCAAGCTAGAGGCTTGAAGTTTCTGTAGCAGTGTTTATTTTTACAGGATGAGGTTGCTAGCCTCAGTATTTACTAATATATTGTAACAGCAGAAGGCAAGACACGGAAGCCAAGGTATATTTTCAAGCGATCAAGCAGTTATTTATATATTTACAGTTTTTATTCTGTAACCAATCTCTGAGCGTGTGACTTTGGTTTACTACATTAAACGACATGAAATAGAATGTTCAAATAGACATATAGTATTCTGTTGCTAATGCATTATTCAAGTGTGGGAATAGTATTCAGACGTTTACAGTAAAAAAAATACGACGATTCTTACTGTCAGAATATTACTCCGCTGGAACCCATTGTCTGTATCACACCACCACAATATTACTTTTATTCAGAGCTACATATGAAAGATTTAACCCACAGAATTAATATTGTAATGGATACAGTCACTGAATCATTTAATGACTATACACAAAAAATATGAATAAGAACACCTCTCTGTAAGGTATCTCGTTTTCAATCTATTTCACTTCAGAACTGAATCCTTTATTTCTTCAGAAGTGAACATAATGCCAACATCTGTTGAGGTGTTTTGGACTCCTATTTGCTGATTTTAGTGGTCAGAAATGCTCTATTTTTGCTGGCATATCAACCTATAGTGGAAACGTTTTGGGTGAGGCAGTGAGGTTATCTTGTTGTTATTTGATTGATGGTGGCTCGCAGCAGATGAACGATTCGTCCTATTCGAGTTTTTGTTAACTGAAAAAATGTGCATCTCAGTGGTATTAGAAAATCAGTCATCAGGTAATAACTGTTGCTCGTTAGACAAGAGATGGTTGTCATGAGTCAGGAGTCTTAACGCAATGACATTTGCAACACTAAGTTTTGGGTTCGAATCTCATCGGAAATAGCATAGCCTGCTGGGGATGCAGGTACATTCTAACGATGAGTTCTAGATATAACTCTAACCTAGCAAATGAAGGTCTATGTTTCGATCACTGGTAGGGACAAGAGACATACCATTCCAGTGCAACATATATGGAACAGTTTTCTTTGAAAAATTGAATTATTTATGGTTAAATGAAGAGTATGGACAGTTATAAATCTCAGTAAAATATTAATAAACAATAACAAGTGTGAATTTAAATAATCTAATAGACAATACGGATTCAAAGTGCATACCCTTAGTGGTCATAACAGTCTGGGTTAAATACGGGATAATGGGATATAATCTGCCTCTTGTGTATTTCACTTTTACTTTTTGTTAGTAGAGGAACAGACAACAAACCAGTTTTAATTTCTTATTCCGCTAATGGGACAGGATGTGAAGAAACATTTTGGAATTTTATTTGCTAGTAGTAGTGCATGTATTAATTTTATTTTTAGTGATAAACAGAGGTGTATTTACAAAAGAATGACACTTGATCACAGGGCTGTTTAACTTCATGTTAGAGATAAAGCACTGGAAAATTCTATACGCCCAAACAACTCAATAAAAGTATCTGCTGAAAAATATAAATTAAAGGTCGTAGGATAAATATTCGTTCATAGATCTCACAAACTGATATTTAGTATTCAGATAACCATTGTGAGGATTCATTTATTGTAATTTTACCACAGTTAGCACCGAACGGTGTTTCAAGCCAAAAAATTGTAACATGCGGCGTAATTACGTGAACAACAGCCTCGCTTTTTCACCCATTACTTATTCACCATTTACTAGTGAGCGTCTTCGATAAGCAGTGATAACTTACTCAAGACAACATCCTTTTCACCTGCAAATTCGGTTTTACTAGGACCGACAGAAGATCTCGGCCCTCGGCCGAAACACTCCTAAATCTCGTCTAGCCGGTAGGATGCCTATTAGAGAGGAGAAGTTGGACATGTAACTAACGACCCCACCCTGTATAAATAAAAATGACTGCTACTGAGA